CGGGCGAACGTCGTGTACGAACTGTCGAATACGTCGAGAAGCTCATTGAGCGTCAGGTATTATGCTTGTAAAACTTGGCACGAGCGTTTAAATACCACATTTATATATAAATGAAAGGATTAAAAAGCACAATAATAAATTATCACTGTTGCAACTATCTTTGGACTGCACCGTATTTATTCCAATTTTTTTTTATCCTTTTATCTTATTTACGGATATAAATGAATATATTCCATATGCCAGATCGCATATGTTTTGGGGAACTTGCGAGCTTATGAGACATTAACATTTGTTTGACAATTGATTGTTTAAAAACTATTGTCGATAACATTAATTAAGTAAAATAGTAGGGAGTAAATTACAAGAAGACAATGCTGAAAATCTAAAAGGCACTTAAACATAAGGCAACATTAATTAAATTCAACATATCTTATACGCGTGTACGCTATAAAATTATTTTATTTTAAAAAATGTTACAAAATTAAGAAATAAGTGTTTTTACTTGTGTTTTTATTTATATGTATCTATGTAACATCTATGTACTGTGTTTGTTCAATTATTATTATTGTGTTATTGTTATTTCAAGATTCCGTCGCTTACATCGATGGTACATTATGCACCATCTTGAACTATGAATGTTACTTCTACTGATCTCACTAACAACTTTTTCCTACTCATTGGTAATTTGGTTTTTATATATCTTATGTATACATTTTAAATTTTAAGCTTATGGCTTTATATCTGTATGTAGTATACGCATGACTTATTTTGTTTATTCATTTCTATGTTCGAGATGTTTTTTGTTGCATGTACAGATGTAGAATTATGCTAAAGGAAGTATCAGAACTCAGGAAAACATAGGACAATTAACATACTTTTTCTATAAAAAAAATTGGAATTTTATAAACAACTCTTCTGAACAACAGAAATAAACAGTGACGCTGATGTAAATCTGATGTACATACATCCGCAAACAGATATAATAGAAATTGATATGTCATTTGATCTATGTAATCTCAAATCTTAATATTAAATTATCAATTTATATATTCTACAGATATCACAAGATTTATTAGAGTGTCTGTTGCAAACTATAAAAATATTTTAATTGCATCATTTGCAACATATGCTTTATAAATCCAGAAATCCAGAGATTTGTGCACGATTAACTACGATTAAAATTTATAATTTATACATTTTAATTAGGTGGAAACTTTGAGGGAGAAGATTATATCATTGGAATTAAGCAATGCAGAAGAGGATGTGGAAAGCATAACCGGCACTGGTGCAAGCGATGCTGAAAGTGAAAGTGAAGATACCACGGGACAAAATATGACTACTAGTATCGTAAAAGAAAAAACAGATTCTCATCTTACGACTGATACATCTGAAATTGCAAATGAAACATCTAAAACAAATGCAAATATTACTGCTGCATCTGCAAAAAAGAAAAAACGTAAACGGTCAAAAAAAGGTCGTCACTGACAAAATATTTCAATGCGTATCCTAATAAGCGATAGGTACGTTGATGTTAAAGACTTGGATAAAATCGATGAAATTTTTACTATTCCAATATTTTACTACTGCACAAATTCATCGTGTAACATCATTTTATGTGAATATGCATACATTTATGTTATATAGATAAATTATACATATACGCTTATATGTATATTTCAATCGATTCTTTTTAGTTTTCAATGCATCAGTATATATGATTGTCATATAATATATTTTTATTTTATCTTTCTTTTTCTTTACACAAATGTAACAAGTAATATGAATATATAAAAATGGCGATCTGGCTCTAAATAAACGTATTGTATTCAATGAAAATATAATATACAAATCTTCGTAATTGATTCAGTGAATACAATACATCCATTATCTGTGTAGAGGTATAACTACTATTTTTATTATATTTTGTATATCATTTTGTGTATCATCACGTATGTATTACAATTTCGTAAATCTAATAAGTGTTAAAAATTGGTACAAATGCATATTTTGAACAATTAAACATTATATTACTGCATTTTTGTATGTTATCATCGACACATTTAACAATTCATAAATTTCGCTTGAAATTTTTTAACTCATCGAGTATAAATTAATTAAATTTAAAAAAAGAAAGAGATTAAAGATAAAAAGGTAATCAAGTAATATTTCAGTGACAATTATTTTTTGAATATATTTTTTAGCACATTCTAATTTTATTTAAAATATAGGGATATATTTTAATATTCGTTTTATTTTTTGATCATGTGTAATACTTATACACATATACGCAATGGTTTTATATATATATATATATA